AAGAGCTGAACAGAAGATTTCAAAGACCAGCTTGAGAAGACAAAACCAATTACTATAATAAAATGTGCAAAGACCTGGAGGTAGAAAACCAAAAGGGAAGAACACATTCGGCATTTCTCATACTGAAAGAACTGAGGAAAATATTTAAGCTTCGAATTGCAGTACTGAAATATTCTATGTGCAAGACATTGAATGATACAAGAAACAACAACAACAACAACAACAAAAAAAAAAAACATGAAAGGAATACACAGAATCAGTGTACCAAAAAGACTTGGTTGATGTTTATCCATTTCAGGAGGTGGAATATGATCAAGAAACAATTGTATTAAAGGAAGAAGTTGAAGCTACACTGAAGGAACTGGTGAAGAACAAGGCTCCAGGAGTTGACAGAATACCCATTGAAAGTTTCAACAAACAGGTGTTGCGCTGGTGGCACTTACTCATCTATGCCAAAAAATTTAGAAGACAGCTACCTGGTTAACTGACTGGAAGAGATCCATATTTGTACCCATTCCAAAGAAAGGTGATCCAACAGAATGTGGAAATTATCAAACAATCATTAATATCACATATAAGTAAAATCTTACTGAAGATAATTCAAAAACAGTTGCAGCATTACATTGACAGACAGCTTCCAGAAATGCAAGCTGGATTCAGAAGAAAACATAGAATGAAGGATCTCATTGCTAATGTCAGATAGATCTTAGCTGAAAGCAAATACCAGAAAGATGTTTACTTGTGTTTTATTGACTATGCAAAAGCATTTGATTGTGTGGATCATAACAAATTACGGATAACATTGAGAGGAATGGGAATTCCAGAACACTTGATTGTACTCATCAGGAACACGTACATAGATAAGGAGGCTGTTGTTTGAGCAGAGCAAAGGGATACTGCATCATTGTTTAAAATCAGGAAGTGATTTATTTGAGTCAGGGTTGTATCCTTTCACCATACTTATTCATTTGTATGCTGAGTAAATATTCTGAAGAAGAAAGTGGCCTCAGATTGGAGGAAGAATCATTAACAACCTGTGATATGCTGATGACATAACTTTGTTTGCTGATAGTGAGGATGACTTGAAGTACTTACTTGAAGATTAAAGACTACAGTCTGCAGTCTAGATCAAACCTCAGTGTAAAGAAAACAAAAATCCTCACAACTGATCCAATAAACAGCTTCACAGTGGATGGAGAAAAGATTGAAATTGTCAAGGACTTCATATTACTTGGTTCTACAGTCAATGCCAAAGCAGCAGTCAAGATATCAGACGATGTATTACATTGGGCATATCTGCTGCAAAAGACCTCTTTTAAGTGATGATGAGCAAAGATGTCTCCTTGAAGACTAAGGTGTGCCTAACCCAAGCCGTAGTATTTTCAATCACCTCTTATGCATGTGAGAGCTGGGCAATTAATGAATAGGGAAGACCAAAGAAGAGTTGATGCTTATGAGTTGTGGTGTTAGTGAAGAATATTGAAAGTGTCATGGACTGCTAAAAGGACTAACAAATCTGTCCTGGAAGAACTGCAGACAGAATGCTCCTTGGAAGTGAGAATGGCCAGAGTTCATCTCACCTACTTTGGTCATGTTTTCAGAAGGAACCATTTCCTGGAGAAGTATATCATGCTTGGTAAAGTGGAGGGTCAATGAAAAAGGGATGTTGGTGAGATGGATTGATACAGTGACTGCAACAATGGGCTCAGGTTTAGCAGGGATTTTGAGGCTGGTACAGGACCAGGCAGTGTTTCCATCTGCTGTGTATAGGGTCGCTATGAGTCAGAGACAACTCAACAGCACCTAAAAACAACAACTTGTACCAGCTCGGTCTAAGACAGTATCATCTCTCTACCTAGATTATTACGATGGCTTTTTAACTATCCCCTGCTTCTTTTATTGACTTACCCTCTGGAGTCTATTCTCCACATAGCTGTCAGATTGTACGTAAGTCAGAGCGTGTCAATATCTTCCAATGGTGGTCTTATCACTCATGTGATAGACAAAGTCATTATTACAGGCCATGAAGACTTACACAATCAGATCCCTCCTATCTATCTGCCTCCATCTCCTGCTTCATTCTCCCTCCCTTGAACCACTTGAACAACTTAACCTCTTGGCTGTTCCTTGAATATTCCAGACACACTTTGACCACAGGGTCTTGGAATTCAGAGTCCCCTTAGTCGGGAATGCTCTTTCTTCACATAGCACACTTCCTTCAAATTTTTGCCTAAAAGTCACTGTGAAGCTTCTCTGATGACTTATTAAAATGATTAGCCCCAAATATGACTCCTTCCCCACTTAATTTTTCTCAATAAAATAGATGGAAAACAGAAAAATGGACATTATCTTTTTCTTCTTTCTTTTTTTTTTAACTTTTTATTGTGATTTGGGTGAAATTTTACAGAGTAAATTGGTTTTCCATTCAAAAGTTCACACACATTTCAATTGCATCATGGATACTCACAATGTAGCAGCACTTTTCTCATTTCCTCCCTGTGTTTAACATTCCTATTTGCCCTTCTTTTCTATCCCTTCCTACTTTCTGAGATTTATCCCTGAGCAAATGCTGCCCTTTGATCTCATATGGTTAGCCGTTTTGGGGAACAAGTACCTCTTCAGGATTATTATTTACCTTTATAAGCCTGTCTATTGTTTGGCTGAAAGTTGAGCCATAAAGGAAGCTTAAAATGTTAAAGGGTGACTCAGGGCCATAGTCTTGGGGATCCCACCAGTTTTTATCAGACCTGTTAGCCTAGTCTTTTTTTATATATGTAATTTTGAGTTTTGTTCCACGTTTTTCTCCCACTCTCTATCCAGGACTTCCTATTATAGTCCTTTCAGAATTGTCAGCAGTGGCAGTAGGACACCATCCAGTTCTTCCGGTCTCAGGATCATGGAGCCTGGGATTCACATGGTACTTTAGTCCTTTAGACTAATTATCTCCATTTGTCTTTGATTTTCTCCACTACCTATGCCATACACCTCCTTGTTTGCTGATTTCATTCGGTCTTTTCCTCCAGTTGATATTTGATTCTACTTCCTTATTCTTTCCTTTGAAGCTCTGGGTTCCAGGATTGCCATCTGTATCTGTTTCACTTGGTTTCTCATGTCTTTGTTGTAAAGGGTCTGAATGTTAAAACTGCCTTGTCCACTATCTGGGCCACACCTCCTCCTCCTTCTTCTTCTTATTTATTTATTTATGTTGGTAGTTAACTGACTTTCTCCCCCAACTAGAATATAAGCTCCATGAGGACAGGAAAATTTTATGATTTTTTTTTTCCACACCAGTGCCCTAGAACTCAAAAAAATAGTAGCTCCTCAAAAATATTTGTTGAATGAATGAATGAAAACAAGAAACAGAGATGTCATTAGTTGATGAGAAACATAAGGGGGCAAACAGGTTCTATGGAAATGAACAAATTGTTGTGGACATTCTTGTAGGAATATTCAGGATACTTGAAAATTAGATTCTAGGGCAAGGCTGTTCAGAAGCAAGTCAATGTGATTCAAAATGGTAATGATAACAGAGTTCTTGTCTTTTAGAAACTGAAGATCTGCCATGGAATATGGTTAAGTATGTAAATAATTATAATACAAAGAAGTATGAATAAAGTTGGCTGTTAAACAAAATAATATTGAATTTTTGTCAAAATCTCATTTTCTCTGTAAGCAGTAACTGTAATTAGTCTATGTAGTGTTGGAGGCAGTTCCTAAAGAGGAACTCCTAAAATGATTTCAGCAAAAGGTGCATTAGGAAAGGAGTTAACTAATGTGATTGTTTTAGATGTATGAACTCGTTTTTGCTTACATTAAAAGTAATAGTGTTATTTTCCTCACACTTCATATTTTCTTAGTCTAGTCCTGATCTGAACCTCTTGCACCACTGCAAACACAAGTTGCTGTTAGGTTGATCCCAACTCATGGTGACTTCATGTGTGTCAGAGCAGAACTGTGCTCCCTAGGGTTTTGCTGGCTGATTTTCCAGAAGCGGGATCACCAGGCCTGTCTCCTGAGGTGCCTTTGGGTGGATTCCAGCTGTCACTCTTTTGGTAAGCAGCCAAACACATTTATATAACCCAGGGACTCTTAAACCACTGAGACAGTTGTACTATATCAACTCATAGATCAGTTTAAACTTTAAGGATTTTAATTGTTGTTGTTGTTGTTAGGTGCTGGCGATTCGTCTCCGACTCATAGCGATCCCATGCACAGCAGAACGAAACACCGCCCAATACCGCGCCAGCTCCATGATCTTTGCTATACTTGAGCCCATTGTCACAGCCACCATGTCAATCCATTTTAATATGTACCTCATAAGCTATCTTAACAATAAGAATATTCTCATTCTAAACTGAAATGTGACTCTATTTTTGGCAGTTATACTGTTTTCAAATTACAGACTCACACAGGAAATTAGTTCTCTGTTCACTGGCAATGAATGAGAAAACTAGAGTTTGGATCTGGTTCTCCCACTAACTAGCCCTGGGACCCTCAGTGAGTTATGCCCATTTTCTGGTTCATTTCCTCAAGGGACAAATATTCTCATTGATGTTGATGGTTTCTAAATTGTTTTTCAGCACTCATTTTTGTGATTTCATAATTCTAATATCTTCCTAATAAATGAATCCTAATACTGAATTGTTGTTAGGTGTTGTCGAGCCAATTTTTGATTCCTAGTGACCCCTGTGACAGACTAGAACTGCCCCCATAGGATTTGCCATGCTGTAATATTCACAGGAACAGATCACCAGGTTTTTCACTTGTGAAGCACTACAGTGGGTTTGAATAGCCAGCTTTTCGAATAGCAGCCAGGCTCTCAACCACTGTTTCACCTTAATTAAGGGCTCCTTAAAATTATCCACAATATATGAAAAATAATGAAAACTAGCTAGAAACTTGGAGTTAATAGTTTATTTTATTCAATAATCATTGATAAAGTTTTCCCAAGCAAATAAACTGATGTTCATGATCGAATTTTTCACAATCTGTTTTTTTACCTGTTGGGGTCATTACAAGGAATCCAGTTCTCTCGAGGGTCTGGGATATCCTCCAAGTATGGATAGATCGTTTCCCTGGTGAAATTCCAGCCATAAATACCATCTTCTGGAGTCACAATGATATGTGCACCCTATTAAAATGAAGCTTAATTAAAACATTTTCCAAGTAAATAAGCAATCAAAGAGAGGGCTAGGAGAGTGTTCACTAACAACCTCCGCCACTGTTATTCCTTTAAGAACTACAAGTTGCCATCAACTCCTACTCATGGGGACCCCATGGGTGTCAGAGTAGAACTGTGCTCCATAGGTTTGCAATGGCTGACTTTTTGGAAGCATTCACCAGGCCTTTATTCTGAGGTGCCTCCAGGAGGACTTGACACAGAATGTATTCTGTGGTGAGTGCTTAACCATTTGTGGCACTCAGGAACTTCCTTTAAGAACTAGCTCAGCTCTTATGCATCTCATTCAGTCTTTAAAATTATTCTCAAGAAAAATGATATTTTTTTTCCGGATCTGTCTTCTCTGCCTTTCCTTAAGTTCCACCATCTGGGTCTGGCTTCTTTCAATCATATTTCTTTGTTTTTTCTATTTTTATAATTTACCCAAGAGTAGGTTCCAAACATCAGGGCATCATGCAAAATATCAGATTAAGTGAAAATGGAGGATGAGCACATCATATCACAAAATGAAGGATGACTACATCATTATATATTATATAGCTTCCAAATTTTATCATCAGATAACTGCCAAACACTGAGAATCATGGTTCAGCCAACCTGACACATACTTTACCCATCACAGCCAGCAATACTCTCGTCTCACACCTCAGCATTTGTTATTGCCACATATACTACGGTAATGTGCAAAACAGTCAGATAGTAGATTTTTTACTATTGTCATAAATGTGAGATATAGGATAACAAGATTGTCAATAAGTGAGGAGTAAGTGTTTTTCTTTTATGAACCACTTTAATTTCCTAATCCTGGTGCTGTCATTTCTATATAACTTTTCATTTTTTCATAGACATTTATTTTAATTGTTGTTGTTGTTGTTAGGTGCTGGCGATAGTTTTCCAAGCCAGTCATAGCTCTGTCATACATGGTAATTGTTAACTTTAACTATAAACTCAGCTCTGCTCAAAATCACCCCTCTTTCTGAATTTGACAGATTGAAGTGCCTGAGTGTGTCAGGATCCTGCCTTCCCTGTACCACATCTTGTAAGCAGAATTCCTGCTTCTCAAAAGAAGGGGGAAGTGTGGGGTCAGATATTGATTACCTGAAGTGTCTTGAACCTAGAGGCTGAGCTAACCTGAGCACCTTCTGTTTAGACAGTGTTAGCTGTTATACCCTTTAAGGAAAAGGTTGGGCCACTCCTAGGAAGGAAGATGGGGCAATCTACTTCCCTAGTGATACTGCCTTGGAAACCCAAGGAGGGGTTGCTATGAGTCGGGTCCGACTCGACAGCACATAGCAACAAAAACAAGGGTGAAAAAGAGCCTCAGAATGCTTCATGACTTTCATAGTTTAATTATGTGTAAGAATGAATATGCATTAAAAAAGAAAGAAAGAAAGAAAAAACTCACTGCCATTGAGTTGATTCTGACTCATAGTGACCCCCACTAGGTTTCCGAGGTGGTTAATCTTTGTGGAAGTAGATTGCCTGGTCTTCCTTCTGTGAAGTGGCTAGTGGGTTTGAACCACCAACCTTCTGGTTAGCAGTCAAATGACTTAGGCACTGCACCACCAGAGCTCCTTTGCGTATTGGTAGATATGTGTAATATGTACCCAGTGATCCCTGGTGGCACAACGGTTAAGCACTTGCTGCTAACTAAAAGGGTAACTATTCGAACTCACTAGCCACTCCACAGGAGAAATGAACGACCTGGATTACAAAACACTGGCTTTTTCTTCTTGGGTCCCTTCTCTCCCTCCCTGAATCTGAGGAAAGCCAGCTACCACTCTGTAAGCTGCCCTGTTGAAGGGCTTTCAGGGGAAGGAATCAATGGCTCTGGGCAATGTAATCCTATGAAGGTCACAGGCTTGGAAATTCCATGGAGCAGTTCTACTTTGTTATATGGGGTCACTATGAACTGGAATCCACTCAGCAAAACACAACAACAACAACAACAATATATATCCCTTACTTTCATCACACTTCAAATACCTGAGCTATATCTGATTGCTAATTATCTGCTTTAAATCACGGATGTTCAAACAACCCACTTACACTGTGGAATTAGTTTTAAACTTAATCCTTCATTCAACCCAAGTTGTGCTATATATTAACATACATGGTTTTATCTTGCATTTCAGTTGAAGTATGAAGTATGTAATCCGTACTGATATTTGAAACTTAAAGTTTATTTGCTTTTAGGTGTATGAACTTATCTGAAAATTTGCAAAGTTTTAGAGCACAAGAGTACATCAATGGCACTAACACTCCAAGAATAGCACATGGTTCCTGATTCTTCATTCTCCACCCTCCAAGTGTAGTAGAAAAGAGGAGTAAAGACATTAAATTTATAGGTAGTTCTTCAAAGGGCTTCTGCTCCTTAATGATGACAAAACTGTTTATCTCTTAAATTTTGCTCTTACTGCTGTTAATGGCTGTTGATTCAGGCTCTTATGGTGACCCAAGGGAAATGAAAGTGTCTTTGTTCTAGTGATTTTGAGATGAAAATAAAGCTCTAATCACAAATTCATACCTTGGCACATATGTTATCCAAAAGCATTATTGATCTTGATAGTGACCTTGTTTCCTAAAACCCTGTCCTTTCTCTCCATAACATCCAGGGCCCTTGAGGTACCTGCTTTGCTGCAGATGTGATGGCTCTCTGCAGAAGATCCAGGTTGAGCTTCATCAGGGCCAGTGCCTCTTCACAGGACACTGGCGTCAGGGAGGTGTTAGGCAACACCACTGCATGTTCATAAACAGCTGCAATAAATTTATCCACAGCACTGACTTTTAAGATGCAGAAGATTGAAGTTGCCACATAAGCCAGCAATTGAGAAGTGATCATGCTGAAGCCCAATGATTGCTGAAAAAACAGAGACTCCAAATTATCTCAAAGCTTAGTAGCTTCAAAGACATACATTGTTTATCTCAGGGTCTCACTTACAAGGCTACAGTCACACTCTTGGCGAGGTTGCAACATTTCAGTCACCTTAAGCCTTGCTTGGGGAAAGATTTATTCCCACACTCTCTCATGGAGTTGACAGCAGGCCTCAGGCCTTTGCTGGCTATTGCCCAGAGCCATTGGCTCCTTGCCCTGAAAGCCCTTCAACAGGGCACCTCACAATGTGGCAGCTGGCTTTCCTCAGATTCAGGGAGGGAGAAGAGGCAAACAAGAAGGAAAAGCCACAGTGGTTTGTAATCCACTCTAGGAAGCAGCACCTCACAATTTTGCTGGAAGCAAATTTTTTGATTTTTCAATGGAAGCAAGTAAATAGGTCCAGCCCACCTCAAAGAGAGAATGTGAATGAGGTGGGGAACACTGGAGTCAGTTTGAGTGGCTGCCTACCAAAGAGGGGAAAAGAAAGAGGGGCGAAGAAAAAAGGAGAAGGAGAGGGAGAGAGACAGAGATGGAGAGAGCTACAGAAAGAAAGGAAAATAGAATAGGAGCTTACAGATTTTGGTATGGAAAAAGTAGACCAATTTTTTTAAATAGTACTTTGTTTCTGTTGTGAATTAAGTATACACCCATTTCTCACTTGTCAACATGGTTAGGTTCCAAAGACCAGGTCACAGAATGACAGAGACACACAGGTCATTATGTGAAAATCAGTATTATACAAAAATGGAGGATGACTACATCTGATCACAAAATGGAGGATGATTGCATCATTACATAAATATCAAATTACATTATGACATAACTGCTAAATCACACCATTACATAACTGCCAAATTTCATCACTGCTTAACAGCCAAATATTATTTCTACATATTGGAAAATCTCATCTCTACATAACTGCCCCATCTCATGAATACATAATTGCCAAATCTCATCATTACATAACTGCCAAATTTCATCATTATACAACTGCCAAACCACTGAGAATGATGACCCAGTCAACTTGATCAATAACCTTATCTATCACAACCAGTATTATTCTTACCTTGCAGTAATCTCACCTTGTACTTCAGTGTCATTACTGCCCAAAATAGTCAGATAGTAGATTTTTTACTATTGTTATAAATGCAAAATGTTGGATAATGTGAAATTAAGTGAGATGTAGGAGCTCTGGTAGCTTAGAGCCTTAAGGCACTTGACTGCTAACCAGAAGGCTGCTGGTTCAAACTCATCAGCCACTCCTCGGAAGGAAGGTTGGGCAATCTACTTCTGTAGTGATACTGCCTCGGAAACCCAAGGAGGGGTCTCTATGAGTCGGGTCTGACTCAATGGCACATAAGAACAACAACAACAAGTGGGATGTAGATGTGATATGTTTTATATTTACAGAACTATTATTTATGACATATTTGATTTTGGATAATGTTTTTATAGTTTAATTTGCAAATGGGAGTGTCTAATTTTTTTACTAGCTTGGTAACTATAATAAGTTTACTATGGGATTCTTAAAGCAACCAAGATCATTATCTCACCCCAGTATTAATAGCAAAGTTCAAAAAACAAATGCTGGTAACGATGTAGAGAGACTGGAACACTCATGGACTGTTGATAGAAATGTAAAATGGTACAATCACTGTGGAAATGGTATGGTGTTCTTTAAAAAGCTAGATATAGAAATACCATATGATCTAGTGATCCCACTACTAGGTATATAGTCTAGAGAAATAGAGCCATAACCCACAAAAAGATATATGCACACCTATGTTCATCACAATAGCAACCTAAGTGTTCACCAATGGATGAAAAAATAAACAAACTATCATTATTAAAGAAAAACAGTGAACCTGGAAAACACCTCACAACATGGATAGACCTAGAGGACATTATGCTGAGTGAAATTTGTCAATCACAAAAGGATAAATTTTTTATGAGACCACAACTGTAAAAAGTCAAGAAAAGGTTTACAGATAGAAATAATCATTCTTTGAAGTTTACCAGAGGTGGGAAGGCAGGGAGGAAAAATTATTAACTAGAAGGGTTTTGGTTACTTCATGCTGGTCTAACAGAAAATACCACAAATGGGTGGCTTGAACAAACAGGAGTTTATTCTCTTATAATTTTAGAGGCTAAAAGTTCAAGTTCAAAACACCAGGCTCTAGGGGCTGCGTGAAAGCCCCTCAAATGCGGGCTTCAGCTCTACCTCCTGCTCCCAGCCCACTGAAGCTGGAGGCTTTTCATCACTCAGGCAGCTGCTGGTTGCTGAGGCTGACAAATCCAAGGTTGACAAGTAAAAAGGCACAGTCACAATATTACCAAACAACATGGCAGGCCACTAATTCAAGTCCAGAAAAAGTCCCTAGATTGGAAGGGCATGGCAGGCTGATGAACAATGACTTGGCTACATGTAGGGTTCAAGCATGTAAAAAAACTAGAGACCTTCTTTAAAGCTGCCTCTTATATACTGGAAGCTGACCACATCTCTAAACCAGCTCCAGTAGATTCCATGGAACTGATTACCAATCTCACCATGGGGAATAACTACATCTAGCCACTCAACCAGGCCCAGCCAAGTTGACACATAATATTACCTACCTCAAAAAGGTATACATGTATTAACTGAGAGGAAAGAAAAGACAATATACAACAGGAGAAGGTCAGCACAAAGTGATCAAGGCAAAGAAAGACACTGGGAGCAGCACAAGAATTAAAGGCAACTAAAGTTAATGCTAACACATACCCAATCCTTCAATAACAGTAATGAGAATAATCTACAAAATGGATGCACAGATAGACACTCAAGCCAAACAGGTGTGGGAGGTAAATGGGACTACATCCATGAATATACACAGGTTTGACAGAAGAAAAGAAAAAAAAAAAAAAACTGAGCTCTGGATTAAGGTTAAAACTAGAATGAGTTACCGAGAAGTTAAAAAATTACTTTGATCTTATTATTTGTTAGAAACATTAAATAATAGCCACCTAATAAGTATCTACTATGTTCATGCTAAGCCTGGAGCTTGGAGGCTGCTTTTCTCTTTATTAAGGCCAGGGGCTGAGGTAGGTGGGCCTGGAACTTGGAGGCTGCTTTTCTCTTGGGGGTGTGTTCTGGTTACCTAGTGCTGCTCTGACAAGAATATACCACAAATGGGACGGCCTTAACAAACAGGAGTTTATTCTTACAATTTGGAGGCGTTAAGTCCAAGTTCAAAGTGCCAGGCTTTAGAGGCTGGGTGAAAGTCCCTCAACCGTGGGGTCCAGCTCTGCCTCCTGCTCTCGGCCCACTGGAGCTAGTGGCATTTCTTCACTCAGACAGCTGCTGGCTGTTGAGGCTGAGAAGCCCCAAGGTTGACAAGTAAAAAGGCACAGTCCCCATATTACCAAACCACAAGTCAGGCCATTAAACTTAAGTCCATTGTAAGTCCCAAGGTCGGCAAAGCATAATAAGCTGCTGAGCAACAACACAGCTACATGCAGGGTCCAAGCGTGCCAAAGGCTAGAGACCATTCCCAAGGCTCCTCCTTAAATACAGGAAGCAGACCACATCCCTAGGGCAGCTACTCAGCTGCTTGTGGTAGATCCCACCATAGAGCTGACTGCTAGTCTCATCATGGTGAATAACTACCACCAACTACCCAGCCATTCAACCAGGCCCAGCCACGTTGACACACAAACATAACCACCACAGGGTGAATCTTTATTAAGTCCAGGGCCTGAGGTAGGCAGGTCCGGAATTGGAGGCTGCTTTTCTCTTGGGGGAGTATCCATTTTAAGTCTGGGGCCTGAAGTAGGTGGACCTGGGGCTGGGGGCTGCTTTTGCCTTGGGGGTAGCTCTATATTAAAGTTGGGGCCTGAGGTAGACAGGCCTGGGAATTGGAAGCTGCTTTTCCCTTGGGTGTGGCTCTATATTAAGGTCAGGGCCTGAGCTAGGCAGGCCCTGAGCTTGGAGGCTGCTTTTCACTTGTGGGCTGTTCTAAATTAAGGTGTTGCCCAATATAGACAGGTGCAGATGGGTTAGGAACAACTAAAGGAGACAAATTTGTCTGTCAGTTTGTCATCCTGTGGTGGCTTGAGTGCTGCTATGGGGCTGGAGGCTATGCCACCGTATTACAAAATACCAGCAGGGTCACCCATGGTAGGCAGGTTTCAATGGAGCTTCCGGGCTAAGACAGACTCAGAAGAAAGAAAACGCCATCCACTTCTCAAACAATTGGCCAGTGAAAACTTTATGAATAGCAGGGAAACACTGTCTGATATATTACTGGAAAACTTTATGAATAGCCCTGAAACATTTTCCAATATAGTGCCAGAAGATGAGCCCATCAGGTCGGAAGGCACTCAAAATTTGACTGGGGAAGAGCTGACTCATCAAAGTAGAGATGACCTTAATGATATGGATACAGCAAAGCTTTCAGGACCTCCATTGGCTGATGTGGCATGACTCAAATTGAGTAGAAACAGATGCAAATATCCATTAATAATTGGAACATGGAATGTATGAAGTATAAATCTAGGAAAATTGGAAGTTGTCAAAAATGAATGGAATGCACAAAGATCGATATCCTAAGCATCAGTGGGCTGAAATGGACTGGCTTTGGCCATTTTGAATCAGACAACCTTATGATCTACTATGCCAGGTTTTCTGGTTACCTAGTGCCACTCTGACAGAAATATACCACAAATGGGATGACTTGAACAAACAAGAGTTTATTCTCTTACTGTTTGGGAGGCTACAAGTCCAAGTTCAAAGTTCCAGTCTCCAGGGGCTGGGTCAAAGCCCCTTAACCTTGGAGTTCAGCTCTGCCTCCTACTCCCAGCCCACTGGAGCTAGAGGCTTTTCTTCACTCAGACAGCTGCTGGCTGCTGAGACTGACAAATCCTAGGTTGACAAGTAAAAAGGCACAGTCCTGATGTTACCAAACCACACAGCAAGTCATTAATTCAAGTCC